CAGTTAGATTTGAACTTTATAAACAATATTTAATAGTTTTATAATTTATTTGAATATTCAATTTTCGTGTATTGAATAGTCTTGTAAAATTTTTGGTATTCTAAATATATATGATAAAAAAATAGTTTTTTTTTTCCTTTTTTTATCAAAAATACTAAAATCTTTTTACTATACAAGTTAAATAAAATCTCCCTTTACATATTGCACAATCCATGACAAATTGAATATATCCCCCATTCGTAGAGTATAGAGTAGGGAATGAATATTGTACGAGAGCAGCAGGGGAATTGCTTCAATTCGTAGCTTCAGCAAATTGGCCACGATTACCGCTTATAATAATAACTTCACATTCAATTATTGAGCGCGGAGCGGGCCAACAAAGACATTTGCTGATCATTAAACGAATGAAGCAATTACTTTATTATTCTTGCATATTTGATTTAGGAGAATCGACCAATTCTCTATTGTTGAGAGTATGACAAAGTGCTTTTGTATGCTCGACATGTGTGTGTATATATTATGTATATATAAATGTATTTAGATATATGTATATGATAATTTATAGACTTGGGATGAGTTTGTTCTAATATTATAACTAAATGTGTTACGCAGTTATAGATGGGCGTGTTTCTCTGCTTAAATAAATAATATAAATTAGTAATCCGATAATAATGGATTTTTCATATATCTCTTACGTTCTTTTCTATTACTGATTACACAGGTAACTAAACCAACAAGGTTTAGTTACTGAAAGTCAATAAGTTTTACATGACTTACTTTTTCTCTTATCAGAATGCTTTTATAAATAAATCAAATAATTTTTTTTATATTAAATCTGCTTCAATAAATCAATTTAATAATTCAGTTTGAAGTTTTATTTTTATAAAATAAAATATTTTTATTACTTCAACTGTTAAACTAAATCAAAATTTTAGGAAAAAACATTCAAAATTAATTGCTTTTAAATTGCAATTATCTTCGAAAAGTCAGCTCTCTCTACTACAGCTAGCATGTATTGACATATCTGCATAGTATCCTCAACCCTCTGAGCTTAAATTTGCCCTGCGCTGTTGTAACGGTTGTTAATCAAAACAATCATACATACTATATACGATTCACAGTTGTATTGCCTCGAAATAGTTTAACTATAATAAGCTAACTCTGGCTCTAGTCTTATCGATTCCACTTTCTGGCCACGTTAATGTTTTCATTGCGTTTACAGGAAATGCCGTGTCCTTTTTTTTTGTTTTTTTTTTTTTTTTGCTGCCTCCCAATATCAAAAGAGAAATACGAAATTACGCCTAATGGTTTTTTAATTGTAACAATAATTGCTGTCGCCATTGCATGAGCAGCTGCCCAAATAAAAGAAATAAAAGCGAAAATCAAGAGGCGTAAGCTAAAGGCGAAGTTTAGATACCCTTTAAGTGGGTAGGGGAAGTAAATATTGTTAGATGTGCATATGAGAGATAGAGAGATAGATATGATATGTTATATAGATAAATGTAGATGTGTATAGATAATGATATAGATATGTTATTACTTTAATTTATCTAAGAGATATATAAAAAATATATAGAT